CACACACACACACACACACACACACACACACACACACACACACACACACACACACACACACACACACACACACACACACACACACACACACACACACACACACACACACACAGGCAGATTAGCAGTGTCCACTTCCATCACACTATGTACCATACTAAGATATGAGACGTGCACTGATTAGCTCTGAAAACATTCAACCTTCTGAACCCTGGACTTAGTGCTTGGCACTTGCATTCATGTTGTCTGCTGGTGCATGCATGTGTGTGTGTGTGTGTGTGTGTGTGTGTGTGTGTGTGTGTGTGTGTGTGTGTGTGTGTGTGTGTGTGTGTGTGTGTGTGTGTGTGTGTGTGTGTGTGTGTGTTAGATAGAGACAGACAGAGAGAGAGAGAGGCCTAAGTCTGGTGGACATAAAGGGCTTAATGTGATAGGTAATTATGTAGTCTGATCTCACATGCAGGATTTAAGAGCTAACTATACCAGCCGTCTCCTGGAGACACACACACACTGACGTCTATAAATAACTGTCATATGACGGTCAGATAAACTGATACATGGATACATAGATTAATGGGTGGATAGATTCTGGCCCAATATGAGCAATATAGTGACGAATAAAAAAGAGGAGTAAAATATGACCTTATGAAAATGTTGTCATGTATATAAGAAATACTGTGATTTAGTTTGATATTCCTGAACTCAAGCTGTGTATTCAATTTAGAGTAAAATAAAAAGATTAGTAAACCAAGGGCTTGCTCACAAAAATGTCAGATATGAGGTACGTATAAAATACCGATTCTGTTTGATATTCCAACCTTATGTATAGAACTGCAACTCATTATTAATTAATACAATTGTGTTATCAATCACAGTGTCTATAGATACTGATACCAAATATATACATGATCAATTCCCAGAACTTAAGCGATATAATCAATTGACAGTCAGAATAAAAAGAAATAAAACTGAAAATACCCAGAGAAAAAATAGCTAAAATCAACATTGTATTTATGATTAATACAATTATTAATTGTTATAAATTATCACTAATTTTTTCAAAATACATATTATGCATAACATGGTGTTTTGCAGTCTTTAAAAGTTCAATCTTGAATAACAAGTTTGACTTAATCTTGCAACTTTATGAATTATAATGTTCAATTCAATATAACTACCTAATTAGTTAGTAGTTGAGTAGGTAAGGAATAAAAAAACCATGCAAGAATTTGTAGGTTTACTCTGCACTTTGTGTCACTCATATGTATGTATACAGCACACATGAATTACTAAAAGACAGTGAAAGAAAAGCTGTAAATAAGCGGGGGGAGACAAAAAATGGCTATTTATATATGTTCCAAAATGTCTTGCTTTATATGTGGGCCCTGCTTCAAAATGTTTTAACAAAGCATGACATAAATCTTTGCAACAAGGGTTCACTTTATGAAGTCAAGTGGATGTCCCTTTTTCCTTTTTAGTTCTATCTCTGTGCTCCCTCATGATACCCTTCCTCACTTCCCTCTGCCTCCTCGCCTCCTCCACTCCTCCCACATCCTCCTCCTCCCCCTTCTCTTTTTGCAACGCCGGGGCACTCCTGTCGTTTGTGTGGCTGTTGATCCTCGTGAAGAAGACAGATCAAATATTTCTCCTCCAGTGTGCGAGGCTTTCCGCTCAGGCCTTGCGGATATGATGATTGGGGCTGATGGACGGATGGGGGCCCCGGGTTTTGAAGTCTGTAACAGACAGCGATGGCTTTGATAGCCCCCGCTCCTCTCACACTGGATCACCACAGACACCAGGCGAAAAGAGAGAAGAAGATGAGGAAAAAGGGGGGTGCTCGTGGGGAACAAAAGCATCTGTAGAGTGGCCAGGGTGTGCCTTGGCAGCCGCAGCCGTCACAGGATTTTTGAAGTTTACACACTGCCCTGCCTTCCAAATCTTTTCCCCTTTTCTCCCCTTTCACTGCTTCCTTCCCCGCAAAGCGTTCTGCTTCCCTATGCCCTTGAACGCCTCACTCTCGCTTTCTGTCCTGCCCTTGGGTTAAACCCCTGGCCGGCAAAACTAGATGGAAGGACTCCAAGTAACTTTTCTCTATCACGCTTCATCCCCTGGATATTCCAAAAAACCTGTCATCACAGTCATTAACCATCATCAACACGGTTTGTGCTTACCTTCGAGAACAAGGAGCGAGGCAGGCTGCTAACATTTGTTACTCTGCTAAAACCCCCCCTAAGAAAAGTCATCAGTCAACACAAGTACACGCAAACAAGAAGCAGAAAGGTCATTCTCAAATTCTTAAACCCCCCTGATACAACAGTGGAATGAAATTCTAACAGAGATGCTGAAGTTTCTAAAGATACCCAATAGGATAATTCTGATGGGATTGTTGGGTTTGGATATTTCACCATGTGTATTCATCATATAGCTTTGAAGAAAAGATTGAACAATACATTACACAATATATCGTAAACTTTCAGACAGGATTAGAAAAACTCTTTCCGACCTTCAAGAGAAGTATGGTGAACAGCGGCCAATGTGATAAGTGAAAATTACGAATGAACGTTATATTTTGACGGCTATTAGCTTAAGTGCTTAAATAAGATCTTTGTTTAAGGTAACATGACATAGGCCTTGAGTAGGAGCAAAGGCAGAACAAATACTGCTTACATATGTGAATTTGAGTTGAGTTAATTTCCTACCGAAAGTTTTTGTTTTTGTTTTTATCAACCATGACCGTTCCTCATCCTTCAACGTTGAAGACGAAGGTTAACTAAACATACTGGGGTACCTTAATTTACCCCAAAGCAATTCATGTAACCTGATGCCACTAAAGGGTGAAATCTCTCATGGATTATTTAAAAGGTAATGTTTATATCGACCTGTCAGCTAAAGAATCATTAAGTCATAAGCCCCTTTCACTTTTTTAACTTCAACACGTGTAATGTCCGATTAATTCTCTGTGTGAATAGAACCGCTCATTGTCCGGAGAATACATGGCAAGCCTATTGATTGCAAAACTGGAAGAAAACTAACAACAGAGGATGAAGATGAGAGATTAGCAACACAAAGACGCCAACGAAAAAGTCCAACAGGAGAGAACACACAACATGGACAAACATTTCATATGCAGAACACTTCTGATGCGGAAATGTTCCTGTTGTTTAAAGGGTAACTCCAAACATAGTCTAGAACTGATTCTAGACATAGTCCAGAGTTCATATGAGAAAAGGGCTTCAGTTAGGCAGCAATGACGATCTGAAGTTTAATAATAATTGCTAATATTAGCCATAGCTTGGATAATACCTGAAAGGTTGTAGCAGAAAAAACAGTAACTCCAATGTATTACATTGAGAAACTGTGTGTGTTGTATTGCTTATTAATTCAACTCTTCATTAAACCCTTTTTTGAGTGAGGTGTTTGAGTTTTAGAGGACATAAAAGGTGAAAACTGTATTTTCAAATAGGCAACACAATGGAATGGAAGCCACCTGTGAATCAGTTCAAACCTGTTTTCATATAAAAAGTAATTCAACTTCTGCATCACCGTGTGCTCTCCCCTCTGTACATTACAGTGTGTACAGTGATACTAGTTGACACCCAACAGATGGCTTTTGTCAGGCCTGGAGAGCAAGAGTTAACCCAATCCTCCGCTCGCTCGCCCTCCCTCCATCCCTCTCCTCTTTTTAAATGTCTCCCATATAAACAGATTTTGTTGCTGCTTAAAGTGGGCTCAAAATTAAAGCGTATCGTTTTACACACATATTGCATGCATATTACGGAGCCCCAGCTGGTGGCAGGCTGCTCTTAAGAGCCATATGATTAAGTTAGAGGTTGGGGTATCCGATAAGATTGGAGCTCTCCGCCTCTCTCTCTATCTCGCTGCCTATTTTACTGCAAACTTATTAAATGGAGGAAACGACATTATTTCTTTCTGAGTGTATGTGTAATTATTGTCACACACCTGTGACTCCCTGCCATCCACGACAGGGAAGAAAAGGGGGGATGATGAGGAGGAGGGGGGGTAGGAACGAGGTAGAAATGTCGTTGGGAGCAGCGGGAGTCCTCGTTTCAGAAAAAAAGGGAGGAGGATAAGGAGGAAGGGGAAAAACAAGAGAGCTTGTTAATCATGCGCTTTCTGTCACTGGCTGAACACTGATATCCTAATGATTCACGCCGAGATAGTGACATCACATGGGAGAGTGACGGAGAGCCGTGGAAAACAAGAATGGTTGTAGAAGAAGAAAGAGGAGATGACAACCCAGGAATGGACAACTAGTTTAGTGCAGACAAGGTGACAGAACGTTTTTTTTTTAAATGTAAAAAGACAGAAACTGGGAAATGTCTGAATCTGTTGTTGCATTCCTCACAAACAAAGGCTCGTTTAAGTTGAACAGAATGCTGAACAAAGAAACGCTGTTGTGCTAAATGTGCTAAAGGGTAACTCCAAACATAGTCTAGAACTAATTCTTGACATTGTCCAGAGTTTATATGAGACAATGGTTTCAGTTAGGCAGCAATACCGATCTACAGTTAAGTTTGCTAAAAGTTGCTAACGTTAGCCACCATTAGCTTGTGATTACACCAGAAAGGTTGTAGCAGAAGAAACATTAACCGCATTGTATTACATTGAGAAGCTGTGTGTGCATCTTCATGATTCACGGCGAGATGTGACATCACACAGGAGTGACACGAGGAAAACTGAAGAAAGGGGAGATAACGATCTAAAGTTTGCTAAAGATTGCTAGCGTTAGCACAATTATCTTCTGATCAAACCAGAAAGGTTGTAGCAGACAAATCTGTAATGTGGACATACAAAACAAGGGACAAAGGCAGTTGTAAAATGAAGAAGGAGGAGATGACAGCCCAGAAATAGAGAAGTAGTTTAGCGCAGAAAAGATGACAGAAAATACGGAAACTGGGAAATGTCCTTCTGAATCTGTGGTTGCATTCCTCACAAACAAGCGCTTGTTTAATTTGAACAGAATGCTGCTCAAAGAACGCTGTTGTGAAAGTTTTCCAGCCAAGTTTCAATCTGTAAAATAAATGATTCTCCCTCCTTCTCCTTCTCCCTCTTGAGGCAGACCACCCCGTAGAAGGCAACATGTGATATGATCCTCGGGAGACAAAGGAAATTACCTATTAAGTGGAAGGGATGATCTTCCTTTAGCCACGCTCCAAAAAAGTGAGTCATGATGTTGTAATTGTTTACCTTTGACTCGGCCCATAAGTCTCCCTTCCCATCTCTCTGTTCGGTTGTAACATAATCTTTCGCCGCGCTGCTTTCAGAAGCTTTCACTCTCCTTTTTTTTTTCTCTATCTGTTCTAACAGGACAGATGTCATCGCCCCAAACAGTCTGAGTCACTGCACGCCTCCACACCCCTGAGTAACCCAAGGACATCAGGGGAAGGGAGGACTGTCATTTTTACATTTCAGACATTTAGTTGATGCTCTTAGTCATGGTGGCGGTGTCTTGCTCAAGGACACGTGGATGGGAACAGTAATGTAATGAAATCAATCAAAAAAGAGGGTTTGTGTTTGTGACCTCCGGGTATTCTTCTTCTTTTGGAGAGTACAATTGATAAAAGATAGATGGAAAAGCCCCAAAACGTGCTGCACTGTAACGCACTTATCGATTTAGGTCGGGAAGACGTATCTCCGTGTAAACAGGTGTTATTCTGTGAACTCTACTTCTACCTTTTTGAACCTGTGACCTCAATATACTCTCTGTATCCTGTAGTGTGTAACCCTTAAATGGTTTCTGTATCCTGGAGGATACATTGCCAAGATAACGTTATGAAACAGAGATAATTACTCACACATATACTTGTGTTTTGAAGCATACACAAAATATAACATAGCATATGACACCTCTTCTGTGCAATACGTATCGCTTTGTGATTAGCATTATGAAAACTGGACGTTATCTCTTAGTTAGACTATTCGATTACTGTGACATCAATAATAACTGTGATAACTGTGCAATATCCTTTCATTTGTACTACTGGCTGCTCTCACACTACTTTCTACATGCCACACTTATGTTTTTGAATACTGCTCCTGGAATAAAGTCAATTTCCCCTCTTTGGGAGGAGAATTCTGATTATGATATTACTCAGATAATCAGGTATCATAAAAAGGTGTAATAACAATTTAATGTATGTGTAAAAGCAGTCAAAATAATGGATGTAATATGGTTTTAATATCAGTGTAACATGGGTGGAATAAAGGTTGAATATGGATGTAGTTGAGGTGTAATATGGGTGTACTCTGGGTTCAATAATATACCCTAAATTGGCAATCTGTCGTGCAAGATACAGTTGGGAAAAAAATAAATGAAATTGTGTAATTATACATTAGAAAATGGCAATTCATAATTTCTTTTCTTAAACTATGGTCTTGTGCTAACCCATTCTAGGGTTAATATCAGCTGCTTTATGGTAAAGCTTGTACAAAAAGCTACTCAGGAACTTTTTGAGGTTTCTAGTCAGCTGTGGGAGTTCAGCAGGATTGAAAAGGGTTGTTTGTCTGTGCCGATACATTTTCCCCCACATCTGAAAGGGAAAGAAAAAAACGTATGGAAATAGCATCGCTGAGCGAGCGGGCTGCATGTGCTTTTTTTGGGTGTAACGTTTTAATAGAAAGCAGATGGTTACAGATGCAGGGGCCGAGCGCTCGGTGATGACACATCTTTAATATTTTAGAGTGGTCTTTGCTGTAAATGTTGCAGCAGCTGTTTTCCGACGCTGTAAATTTACAGCATTTTTTTCTCTCTCTTCTGTGTGTTTGTGTGTGACTGACAGCTATTGGATTTACTGTAAATTACAGAAATGAATATGGAAAAGTGATGAAAACGCAGCGAAAGGGGTGGAGGCTGCACGTGTGCGTGTGTGTGTGTGCGTGAAGTGTGTATGCCCAACTGTTTGCCGCTGAATCAATTCCTCGTCATTCTGAACCCCGCTGATTATTCTCTTATTTTAGAACGAGGCGGCTCACACTGCAAAGTATAGGATCTCATATATAATGAGATGGAGGAAGAAGGGAGATAAATATATATTTGTATCAGGTTTGCATTGTGGCTTTTTAATGTCAGCGGCGAGGAGAAAGGGGTTCCCGTCCATCTTTTAGATTCCAGGCGATTGTCATCAATTCTTGGCATTTAAACCACCCTCTTCAAATATTTGAAATGCAAATACAGCTGTGTATGCCCAGCCAAATTAAAAGACACACAGGAACGAAGAAAGAAAAGGGAAAAACTTTTGAAGACATCATTTTTTTCTACCATCATCCGAGCATGCATTGTCAAACACTCTTTGTCTCTTTCCCGAAACAGCAGGCAGATAATGCGGCTCTCTGCAAAACTGATTATATATTTTTTTTAAAAGACAGTTTTTATCTCGCCCTTGGCTTTACTGTCGCTGTTTTCACCTCACGAGGTGTGTTCGATTATGTTCTTCCC